TCATATGCAGCCACCTGCACTCACAGGGACAAACAACATCCCCAAATCACTTGGAGTGATTACCAGGTCTGAAGCTCTGCCTCATGCTGTGCTCCCTTTGCTGGGTACTTTTCCCTATGTCTGTGTCTGCTGGAGCCCACAGTGGAGATGGTGGTGGTGGAGATGGGCAGCATTTCCAACCCATCAGTGCAGGGAGCTTCGTCCAGCCTTCAGAGATTCCAGGTGATGGGATGACTCTTGGTGCAGTTTTCCCACTGTTTATTCATTTCTACCCTTGCTTGGCTTTGTCCCATCCCATGAAGGCTTGTGTGCCTGTGCAGGGATCTTTGCACTTCTCACGTTCTTGCAGCTGTGTCTTCCCTTAAAGCATCTCCTGTGGCTTTGCTGTATGAGACACTGAGCTCTTTTCCAGGTTTAAGAAAATGACTCGCTGATGGTTTTGGGGAATTCCTCATGTTTTCTCTAGGTTTCTGACCTGGGAACCTGCAAATGTGCACAGTTCTATGTTGTTTCTCTGCCTTTTAGCAGAGCTCCTGCTATGCAAACTGATAGGTCTGAGGCCAAAAATACATGCAAGTTTCATTTAAGTAACAGTAGTGGAAACTTTCTATGGAAAGAAGATACCCAAAATAAAAAAAAAAAAAAAAATTAAAAAAATGCCCCTGAAAGAACAAAGTAATTGCCTTACAGAAAGACTTCCTTTTGCTGCACTGTTTTCCGTTTACATCAGCCGTTTGCCTCCTCTGGGTTGTGCAGTTGTGGTTCTTTGGTGTGTCATCCAGCAAAGTACAGCAGAACTTCTGTGCACAGAAGAAAATTGTTACTTTTTTCTCTGTCATAAGGAAAAAAAACAAAAAAAACCAACCAGCTAACCAGCCCGGCTGTGCTCTCTACAAATAGTGACATGAGTGGAATAGAAAAATGCCTATCAGCCCTGAGTGTGGTGCTGAAGGTTATGCTTTTGTGTTGTCCTTCAGATGGGAAGGTTAAAGAATGTGAGCAGTAGCATGCAGCAATTGCAAATATGTAGGAGCTTCTTGACCAGCGAGATGAACCCACTGTGGCATTTCAGCACGTACAATGCAGGGATGTGTTCTTCTTAACCAAAATTAGGCAAGGCTCTTTTAGCCTAGTGAGCCTAGGACATGACTTTGGCCATCGTATTGTCTTTACTTGCAATAACTACCAGACCAAAGTTCTGCAAGGAGAATGTTTTAGTTTTTACCCTCCTTCCTATCACTGGTTTTTGTCTCAAGTCCTGTGAACTGCTGGTTCAATCTCAGTTCATAGTCTCGCCTCACTTACTTTGGTTCAGCAGAGTGCTTTTGCTCTGCAGAAGTGTCAAGAAGTGCATACACGTGCCTCTCTTTGCTTCTTTGTTCATCTTTTATGATGAAGGCAATGGTCATGCTTTTTAATGCCTTGAAAATCTTCTAAAACACCATACTGAAGTAAAATAAACCAACAAGCACTAGAGATGTGCCACATGAATCATTTTCTTGTTGTTGATAAGGCTGAGTGAAGGGTGACTGAATAGCTGGAGGAACTTCTGTAGACACTGTGTCATGCTTGACAGCGAAAGATTTCTTTTGAGAACATTGCATTTTATGTGTGTACACAAAACCTGAGCAGAGAGGGTGGGCTGATGATTTCCCATGGGTCTTCAAGTGAAGCCATGGCCATAGCAGCACTAGCTGGTTAAGTCTGAGCTGTCTGTGTCTCCTCTAGAGAGTGTATCCAGCCCTTTCACACCACCTTTTCCTTGAACACACTTGATATGGACATCAGTAGCCCAGTGGATGAGAAAGACAAGTCCTTCTGGTTATCTTGGTCATACGGTGTACCTGAAAGTTCATAGTTCAGTTGATGAGTGACCTGAATCAAGGTCCCTTCCAACCCAACCATCCCATGGTTCTATGACCTTTAAGGTTCCTTCCAACCCAACCATTCCATGGTTCTGTGATATTTAACCCAGCCATTCCATGGTTCTATGACCTTTATGGTTCCTTCCAACCCAACCATTCCATGGTTCTGTGACCTTTAAGGTCCCTTCCAACCCAACCATTCCATGGTTCTGTGACCTTTATGGTCCCTTCCAACCCAGCCATTCCATGGTTCTGTGACCTTTATGGTCCCTTCCAACCCAACCATTCCATGGTTCTGTGACCCTTAAGGTCCCTTCCAACCCAACCATTCCATGGTTCTATGACCTTTATGGTCCCTTCCAACCCAACCATTCCATGGTTCTATGACCTTTAAGGTCCCTTCCAACCCAACCATTCCATGGTTCTGTGACCTTTATGGTCCCTTCCAACCCAACCATTCCATAGTTCTGTGACCTTTATGGTCCCTTCCAACCCAACCATTCCATGGTTCTGTGACCTTTATGGTCCCTTCCAACCCAACCATTCCATGGTTCTGTGACCTTTATGGTTCCTTCCAACCCAACCATTCCATGGTTCTGTGACCTTTATGGTCCCTTCCAACCCAATCATTCCATGGTTCTGTGATTCTATGACCTTACGAGAATATGGAACATAGTAAGGCCAGAGGTTTATATTTGGAGGGGAATCCAGAGAAAGTTTCTTCTCAGCTGCTTATCACTGATTTCTGAACTCCATACATTGCTGGACTTATTTTTGTTTTATTTCTCCTTGCTGGTGGCTTGCAGGATCTTATGCTAGAAGTGTATCTCACTTACCTCAGACCATTGCTTCAGTTCTATGTCTTCTTGCTTCTCCCTGAGGAATGTGAAAATAAATGGTGAGGATGGATTTATAAAAGGTGTGTGGAAAACAAAGAACCAACCTGGGGTAATGGTCTGTATTTCCCCAAAGCAGGGATTTGTGCTTGGGGGCAAACTGGTTTTTCCTGGGATCACCACCTCCCCATGGGTGGGGGGTGTTAGCCCAAGTCAGCAGTGTGGTCAGCCCATCATTAGTTTAATTCTCTACAAGATGACAAGAAAGTCCTCGTTAGACGTGATCTTAATCTTGACACTGATGTTAATTAGCCCTGAATCATTGTTAGAAGAGTATGGAGCCAGGCAGGAAATGAGCAAAAAGCATTACTGGGGGGAAAAATCTCTGATTTCACACTTCAGGGCGTAGGGAGGGGAAGCTTTGAAGTTGCTGTGTTCTTGCTGCAGTATAATATATTAACATTTTGGTTTTGGCTCATGAAGTACTCTTTTCCCTACCCTCAGAAGCATCGGATGTAATTAAGCTCAGAAGCAATGGTTCTCTCCAGCTCTTTCCTGTCAGCTGGGTGAAATAGCACAGAAATGGTGGATTTTTTTAATATTAAGTTTTTCCTCTTAGCAGAGGAATAGCAGCGACAGAAATCCACTAACTCAGGGCTGCATCACCCCTGAGAAGCAGAGCATCGCTAGTTCTTGTTCAGTGCTGCTGCACACAGACCCAAGCTGCTTTCAGTTTCTTATTTAATGGGCAGCACCGTGACCTGTGTATCTGCTCGGGATGCAGCACTGCTGGGGAGGTGAGTTGTCCCAGCAGCAGCAACGCAGAGCTACAGCTCTGTCAGAAAGCAGCGCTCAGTGATTGGTAATGGCCGCGAGCCATTGCAAAGGAGGTTTGCAGACATCTCTGGAGCAGTTGTGCGATTTACAAAGTCGCTTTCAACCTCAAATAGAGATATTTTTTTTCATATTTGCAGGCTTTTTTTTTTTTTTTTTTTTTCCCCCTAGGTTTTGCAAGCGTTTATTTAACACAAAAGCAAGGCCCTTCCCTGCATAAAGGCACCTGCTGTGGGGCAGCTGGAGCACTGACCTCCCAGCACTGATGGCAGTGCCACCATCTTCCAGAAACAGGGGAAGGGCACCGGAGCCCTGACCCTCCCCTGGCACAGCAAAGGATATGAATTTTTAATTTGTGTTCAAACTGCTTGCACAGTGTCATTGCCTGGAGATAGAAAGCACGTGGCCTCGTTAGAGAGGGTGATAAAAGCTACTTTATCTCAAGTGTCTGGACTGCTGCATTTTTTCCCTTTTTCCTTTTAATCTGATATTCTGTGCTCACAAGCCCAGATGGGGCAGATGCCTCCCAGTTCAGACTGATGTGTTTTTTCAGTGAAAACTTGCCTGTTTCATAGGATGCTCCCCAGTTAAACTGGAGTAGAAGCTGAAGCCTCAGCTTGTCACAGACCTGTTTGAGTGTTTATGCATCAGCAAGGCACGAGGCCATTTGTTATTCCCATGTCATTTTGGTGGTTCTTTCTAACTAAGGATGCCTGAGTGATGGAGGAGCAGCATGACAGTAGGAAGATGCAATCCCCTTGCAGGTGAGCAACCTGTCAGGTTGTGGGAGGTACAGAACAACTGCTAGAAGTGCTTGCATCCACAACCCAACCCCTCCCTCCAGCCCCTGTGCAGATTACTCCTCCTCAGGAGCAATTAGGGCTTTTGGCACTCGTGTTGCAGTCTTTCACCTGTGAACAAATATTTTGCATGCTGTGTGGGAAGGCAGCTTTGTTCAAAGATGTGAGTAGTGTGATATCCTATTACGTACAGCCACAAGCGAGGCATTTGTGGATATTCAAGCAAGACCTCTGTTGAGCACACTTTAATATTTCCCAAGAGTCTTTTTCGGATTGCACCACTCTCAATCTGTGCTTTCGTGGCCTCTCATCATTCTTGCTGGTCCACGTTGGGACTTTCTTTACAATTCTGTTGAGATGCAGTGTCTGGTATCAGGACTTCCACAGTGCTTCCCTCTGTGTATCTGGTGAGGAGGATCCCTCTCTGTGCATGGCAGAGGGATGCTTGGTCATACAGCAGCAACCCAATAGCATCCAACTCTGGTTCTGGAATCCCGAGATCCTTTTCCTAAAAATAAATAAATAAATATGATAATAATAAAGATCCTTGCAGGTTGCTAGTTATTTCCCCTGTGACTTGTCATTGATTATTCCTGCCTTTGGTACTGTTCACCCGTCATTCCTGAATTGTCTTTTTTCTTTTTTCTCTTTATTTTTTTTTCCAGACCATTTCTACTCCTTACCAAGACCATTTTGAATCCTAATCCTGGCTTCCGAAGTACTTGCAGCCCGTCCCAGCCTGGTATCAGCCGCACTTTTAGTAAGCATACCATGTTCCATCATTGCAACCCATTCTGATAACAGTGAATTGTGCTGGACAGTCCCCATGTCCAGCACTGAGCGTGCCCTGTAAGAGGTACAAAAAGCAACAAGGCTCCATGGGATGATGAGATTTGTGTCCCAACGTGAGAGATGTTATCAGCCCCTTTGAAGTTTTGTCATGAGAAATATGTTGATTTCCCATGCGATGCTTGAACAGTGTGGGTTTTGTGCAGGGCTGGGAGGCTGAAAGATCTGTGCTGTCACAAAATCAGCACATTGGCTTTCTCCTGAGCGTTTTGTTGTGTTTTTGCTCTCCTGCCTTCTTGATGGAAAGCCCACCTTCTGTTCAGACCCATTTTGTCCAGCTGTTGGTGGTTAAAGAGCTGCAGTGTTGGTGGTGGTGAATGTGTTAACAGGCTGCCCAGAGAGGCTGTGGATGCCCCGTCCATCCCTGAAGGTGTTCAAGGCCAGGTTGGATGGGGCCCTGGGCAGCCTGGGCTGGTGTTAAATGTGGAGGTTGGTGGCCCTGCATGTTGCAGGGGGGTTGGAGATTCATGATCCTTGAGGTCCCTTCCAACCCAGGCCATTCTGTGATTCTGTGTTGAAGGAACGTTTATGTGTTGTGCTGAGGGACATGGTTTAGTGGGAAACGTTGGATGGTTGGATGATCTTAGAGGTCTTTTCCAACCTTGGTGATTCTGTGATTCTATGAAGGGTGATACTCCAGGATTCATGGATTTTCATGGAGTCTCATAAATGGAGCTTTGTAGACCAAAATTGTATTTATAATGGAAAGGGGCAGAGCCAGATGGTGCCCACAGAGACCAAAAAGAGAATGCACAGCCAGTGCATATGTCCCTGTAGCAGTCAGTGTTCAACAAATCAGAAATTAAAACAGAAACAGTGGAGGAAGCCCAAAGGTGATCAGCAGCAAATGAGCTCAGATGAGAGGTAGCATCTTGTTTCCTTGCAAGGGAAGAGCATAAAGCTGGGTTTTGCTGTTAGCTGCACCTCAACGTATGTGTTTGTCAGAGCAGCTCTTGGTTTCATACTTCTCCTTCTCTTTGACATCTGCTGTTTCTGGGAATTTAAGTTGGAGCAGCTCATCTTTCATTTTTGACTTCACCAATGTGATTTGAATGAGGATTTCCTGCCTTTCCTGTGTCATAGGCTCAGAAAAACCACTTGCATGTTGCAAAGAGGGAAACTGAGGCACAGAAGGGCAGCACTTGCATTAAGCCCATAGAGTGAGGTTGGAGGAGAAATGCTGATTTCTCATCCCTTCCTCTGTGATCTGTGCCTTACTCAAAGCTATGAGGACTTGAGAAGAAATGGAGTTCTGTGAACACAGGCCTGCAGTGTGGTGTTTTCAAGGACACCAACTACATAAAACTGATTTACTGTGGGAGAAGAAGCCTTAAATATCCCCGTAGAGAGGACATAATGTGAATGATTTTGTGTTTATTCATTGCATTTCACTGAGTGGATGAAATCTCTCCTGACTGTAATTGAATTATGTGTGGATTTGCTATCTAGCATGGTGGTGTTAAAAGCAGGTGCACAAAGGGATTTCTTTCTGGAGAGGGGAAAAAACTGCTTACTGTTGCAGTCAGTGATTCCTACCACTGCAGTAACCCTAATCAGATTAATTATGGCTCATTTATCTGTCTGGCTTTAATTTATAAAAGCAACATGTCTAAAGAGTTTTGTTTAAAACCTCTAAGAGTTTCAGTAATATTTTAGCTTTCTTTCACGTGGTGCAGTGTATCAATATGTGACTTTGAGGGAGATGACACTCCAGCACTTAGACCCAGCCACTGGCTCTCATCTCCTCTTACATCCACCTCCTGTCACCATCCCCATCCTGCTCACGCAGAGTTGGCCCCATTACCCCCCATGTGGGTCCCTTCCAACCCTGGCAATTCTGTGATTCTGTGCATTAGGTGGGATGGTTGGTGGCCCTCCGTGTGGCATTGGGGTTGGAGATTCATGATCCTTGAGGTCCCTTCCAACCCTGGCCATTCTGTGATTCTGTGATGTCCTCACCCCAAATTCCTCTCTCTCGTTGCTTCTCTTTTCAAATCTCATACCAAATCTCCCCCTCTGGCAGCAGCCTGGTTCTGCTTTTGATCTCCTGTAGGACCCAGACCGCTGTCTGTGTTGCATCCTTGCCCCATCTCACACGCGGCTTTTTCTTTCTGTAATTTTCCACTGGTGTGTCTCACCCAAAATCATAGCTATTCTCACTTGCATAAGCCACTTGCTTTTCCTGTCTCTCTCTCTCTCTTTTTTAATGCTTCTTTCTTTTGCTATTTTCCATTTCTGAAGAGCTGTTTAGATTTTCACAAAACCAAACCGTAGGGCACTGCATATGTGCTTGCCCACATGTATCTGCTCAGAGCAAAAGTTGCAGAGCAGTACTGAACAAATGGGGCACTTTTCCATCAGATTCACTCCTCTGTTTTCCTTTTGTATTTATTCACCGCTCAAAAGTGAACTTTTCAATCAAAATAACCCGAAGATGACTTTGGGTTTCACAAGACCTTTTTCCCCACACTGTTAAAGTGCTCTGCCCCTCTGTTGGTTAAATAGGAAAATTTCAACACCTGTTTTCCCTTTCATTTTAATTCAGCTCTTCTTTTTTTGCTTGGCTTCGCAGCCAACCTGTTGTTTTTGAGGTGTATCCTTTCATTGAGCTGGGATCCAACAGTGTGTTTATTGACGAATTTTCCATTTCTCATGGAAAGACAAAAAGCACAAGGAGGCGCAGAGTGGGCAGGGATTTGGCTTTGGCAGAGATGTGATGATCCATGGTAGGTTTTGGTAGACAGCTGAGTAAGGATGTCCTCATCTCCTTGTGCCAGGAGCCAGCTGCAGCCTGCACCATCCATGCCAGGGCTGCACACGTGTTGTATTTTCAGTTTTTCCTGGCGCATGCCTCTGCACAGCAACGTGTGTCACCTTTGTGTCAGCCATCCCCAAAACACAGAGGTGATGTTTTTAACCAGGTAATAACACACTATTTTAAGCTGCTTCTAAAAATAAAGTCCCACACAAGCTGGCGCTGCGACAGCAGTGTTTTATAGTTTAATTGTGGCTGTTTTCTTGGGATGATTCATAGAAAGAAGATGAGCTTTACTAGTTTTACCCCAGGGTGAGGCGACGTTGGTGAGTTGCTGATTGTAGTTGAAAAGATCACATTAGCTCTACAGTAGCTGGCTTTTCCCTTAGGGCTGAAGCATCGTGTTGAACACTGGATAAGCTTTCTTTCTCGTAGGTGTCTAACACAAGGCATTCCGTAGATGGAGAGCATCCTACAGTGCTTTTGAGAGTTGATGCCTTTGTCACATTCAGTGACAAATAATGGCCAAGGGGAGTAATGAGGAAAGAGATGGTTTCTCTGAGAAACAAGGTGGAGATTTAAAACTTACTGCACAGCTCAGAGCTACAGGGAGAAATGCAAGAGCCAACAGTATGAGGTGAGGTGGAGGGAAGCATTACAGAGATATCTAGAGAGCAGGAGATGACTCTGCCCTCCCACACTATCATCAGATATCTCAGCATCTGGGGCGGGAGCAGCTTCTCTGCTGGAGCACATGGGTCAGGCTCATTCTCCTTTTAGTGTTAAGAAGAATGAGTCTTTGTTGAGCTACGTCATGGCTGCTCCTTGCCCAGCCAGCCGCCCCAACACCTCACAGAGAAAGCTCCTGCCTCTGGCCCAGTGCAAAGACCTGACATCCCCTGGAGTTAGTGTGCCCCAGAGATGATTGAGGAGTGAATGAGAGGCAAGGAGAAAGGGCCAAAGGTATCCAAAAAGCAGGAATGTCTCAGGTCCTTTTAACAGACTGCTGAGATGCCCAGAGATGTGGTGGAGACACATAAGATCAAGCTGGACCAGGCTTTGAGAACCGGGATGGAGCTGTAGGTTTCCCTGTTCAGGAGTGGGATCAGATGGCCTTTAAAGGTCCCTTCCAACTCAGACAATTATGATTCTATGAGACAAATGCCAATAACCACAAGTCTCTTACACCCGTGAGGGTGGTGGGATCTCAAAGCGGTCACCTTGAAGTCAAGTGCCTTTGAAACACCAGATTTCTCAAGAATGGTGATCTCCAGTCTACCACCTTCCACACAGCAATACAAATGCCAGCCATGCTAAAAGCAGCATCCATGAACCTCCACCTCCTCGCCTTCTCCTATCAATACAGCACTCAGATCTTGGTGGCACCTCCAGGCTCCTGTCACCTCGCCAGGCTCCATGCAGCATTAACCTGCAGCACGTCACACCAAAGCAATTAGCAATCTTGCTCTCCCTCTGGAAGAGGCAGTAAGGCTTCAGCACAGCATTCAAAGGAGAGATTGCTGCATGGGAAGTGGTAGGAAAGTCTCACAGTATGTTTCTTTAGAATGGAAAAAGAAGCTTATCATGATGAAGGAGGCAAAACAGGACGTTTGGGTGCAGCTCTGCTGTCAGCTTGTCACACAGTGCTTCCCCAGGATCCTGAGCTTGCTGCTGTAATGGGGAATGATAATTTCTTATTTCTGTGAAGTTGTCAAGGGTTTTCTTGGTGTTCCCTCTGGGATGCTGGGATCAGAGAGACTTCTCAATAAAATTGTCAAGTTTTGAACTGGCAGTTGGGATGGGAGCAGAGGGTTGAATTGGGCCAATTTCCTATTTACTGTGCGTTTTGGGAGTGGTTGCCTCAAAGGCAGCAGTCACCCCGGAGCAAAAAAAAACCAGTTAAAGCAAATTAGAATTGTTATCAAAGGAAGAGCATGCACAGTGGGACGTGAGCTGAGGCTGAGCAGTGTTTTTACTTACAAGGATAAGGCTTTTTTACTGGGTGTTTCCTTCATTTGTCATCATTAAGAAAATGACAGTTGGAGTGAAAATTAAATACTCGGGGGAAAAGAAAACAAAACAACATCGCAAACCAGCAGCCTTTCAGCTGATGATTAGATCTGCCCTGGTTAGTGCTACTATGGTGCAGCTCTTTC